ACTTCCAGGGCAGGGGGACGGGAGAGGGGATATAGTGTAGCCACAGCTCTGCAGCGTCGTGCCCCGTACAGCCGTGAGAGCAGGCTGGGGCGGGGGCTGCTGGAGGACAGCGATGCTGCCCTGCCTGCCCCAGGCCAGGGAGGTCTGCTCCAGGCTGGGGTGTGGGATGCAGGGGTGGTAGCCGTCCCTACCCAGAGCAAATGCTGGGAGCACCAACCCAGCCTGCTGCTCCTTGCTCATGCTCCTGGGCAGTAGGGGCTGCCAGCCAGGCCTCCTCCCCCCTCAAGCGCAGCCCCACTCTGGTGCTAGTGCTGGCAACCGGCAGGGCAGTGCCTGGGTGCAGACACCAGTGCCTGGAGAGGAGCCTGCTTCTCACAGCCAGCAACCTCCAGGCCCCAGCCCCAACCTCAGGAACCTCTGCTCTTGGCTTGGACTGGAGGGAAGCTGTGGGGTCCCTCCATGCCTGGGGCAGCAGCAGCAGGTTCCCATGGGCATCGTGCCCCCTGCCCCTGCTCCAGGCACCAGCCTGTGGCTGAGGCCCCTGGGCTGCTGCTCTGCTCCTGACCCCAAAGGGGGCCCAGGCTTCCAGTCCAGGGAAGGCACCTATCACACCCGGGCACGGAGTTACCCACCCATGGGTTAGTTTCTGGCACCAGGGCACGGACTCCCAGCCAGCAGCAAAAACCCAGAAGCAGCCACTCCACCTCAGCGCCTAGCCAAGCCCGGCGCTGCGCACCTACGGCAGGGGGCAACAGCACCGCAGCCGCGGGCTCCTGGGCACATGCCCAGGACTGGCTGGGAACAGAGCGAGTCTGGGTGATCTGGGCAGGAACATGGTGCAAGCGCTGTGCACACACATGCATGTATCCAGGAAGCCTCTGGCAGCAATAAACAGTCTGTGCCCTATGGAGCCACTGAGCAGGTTACTGGGAGAGGGTGGGGAGACAAGGACACTGCAGCAGCAGGGAGGTGTGCTGCAGCTGGAGCCCACTTTAAGGCCTTGTGCACATGGCAGCTTTGCCCAGTAAGCCAGGCTGTCTCCCATCGCTACCCTCACCACAGCAGCCAGGCCGCTTTCCAGCTTGGGGCAGGCTGTGACCTCTGCTTGGCCCAGAAAGGCTGGCAGCCAGCCCGCATGGGGTACAGCTCCACTCGCACCTCCCACAGCAGCAGGTACTGTGGTCCTGCCCCTGGCTGAGACCTCCTGTCTGCAAGGCATGGGCGCTTGCAGCTCTAGGAGCACCAGGCATCATGGCTGGGTGAGCTGCGGCCTCAGGCCTGGGGCTGCCAGAGGAACCCAGCTGCACTGAACAGGGAGCAGCTATGGGGCTGGTCCCAGGGGCCAGGGCCTGCAGTGCTGTGCTTCTGCCCCTCACCTAGGCTCTGCTGCCCTGGCCTAACCACCTCACTGTAGCTGCCCCAGAGACTGCCTGCTGCCCCTTCAGGGGAGGCTGCCAGCACCCAAGCCACAGGCACCCAAGCACAGAGGGCATCACTGCCTGGGTTTAAAGGGGGTTCCTTTTATTGTTCCGCTTTCCCAAATGTACAAAAAAAATTAGAAAATAACCCTACCCCCACCCCACCCCACCCGGGGCAGCCCAACAGTGCAGCTAAGAGACGGCAGAAGAAATAAACAACTAGGTACAGCAGCTGGGTCCCTCAGCCCGTTGGCATTGGGCGCTGGCTCCACCCGCCGGCGGCCCCGGCCTCCCCAATGCACATACAGCTCATTCTTGGACACCATGGCAGGTGGCCCTTACAGATCCTCCTTTGCCTTCTTCTTCTTCTTGGGCTTCTCCTCCTCCTGCAGCACTGGCGGGTTGGTCGCCTCCCGCTTCAAGTAGCTGATGAAGTCACTCACCTCTCGGCCTCCCTGCAAGAGGCACAGTGAGGCCAAGAGACAGGGGAGCAGTCCCTGGCGGCTGAGGACGAGCAGGGAGACTCCCAGCACCTGCCTCCCGAGCCCTGTAGAGCATCACTGGCCCCACTGAAGACCAGGCAGATGGGTATGAAGCAGCTTGCCCATGCTGCTGTCTGGGTGTCAACAGGACAAACTACCCCTGCCTGCAGTAGCCCCAAGATGGGTGCATGGTGCCTCCACATAGAGGCTAACTGGGTCAAGAAGCACCCCCCCCAGCCACATCGAGGGCACCTGGCCTAGCAACTGCACACTCACCTCGTACTTCTTTGGATTCTGCTTAGTCCCAGCTGGAGCAAAGTATATGGTGGGAAAGCTGGGGGAAAGAACAGGTAGCTCAGTTTAGATCCTTCAGGCCCATCCTAGCACGCAGGTACCCACTGCTGCCGCGCCCAACCGCTCCACGTGGTACAGGCGAGAGAAAGGCTATGCCACAGGCAGGCAAGCCCAGCCACGGGAGGAGGCTGCAGCCAGCCCTGGGGCTCCATGTCAGTTCTATGTCTCAACCGAGGGCAGAGGCAGCCATAGGTAGGCACAGCCACGAGCTAGAACCCAGCACAGGTACTTCAGCCCAAGCAGCCCAGTGCTAGGGTTCCTGCTGCTGGCCACTCCAGAGAAGCATGACCAGCATGATGATCCCTGTTTTAAGAACCCCCTTTAAACCCAGGTGGCACAAACGCAGTCCCAGCCAGAGCGCCCCAAGGAAACCTGGGAAATGCCAGCAGGCAGAAGCCAGGACTCAGCCCTTCCCTGTCCAGGGCTGCTCAGAGTAGGCACTCACCCCCTGACTTCGTATGGAGAAGGCACATCATTGGCTGTGGCATCCATCTTGGCTACGACGATGTTGGGGTCTTGGCTGAGCTGTTGGCAATGAGCATGTTAGCTAGCGGGCCCGGCTGGGAGCTGATCTGCCAGTCCAGCAGCAGCACCCCGACTCCACCAGCCTGGCCCAGACTGCCAGGCACCTCCTTCCCTGCACAGCTTCTTTGTGCTGTGGGCAGAGCCAACTCTGCCTTCACCTCGGTCAGATGTGAGGGGTCAGCTTTCAGCCCCAGCACACCCCCCACTCTTGTCATCTGGCCCTGAGGCAGGGGCTGGGAGCAGGCCTGGGCATAAAACATTTCAGGACATCAGACAGCCATGGGAACAGGGCTTGCTGCATGGTGCTCAGGCTTGTGCTGGCTTCCAGGGCAGCACTTGGCAAGCACGTGGAGCTGTGGACCAGATTGTGCAGCCTGTCTTCTCCCCACCTTGGAAGAATCCTGCAACACATGCCTTGCCACGCCTGCAGCAGGGCCATGCCTAGGCAGTGGGAACTTGTGCCTCACACCCTAGCCTGGGGGGGGCGAGGGCAGGAAGTGTGCTGGGACAGCAAAGCCCTGGGAGGCCAACACAGCTGGCGCTGGAGCTTACCTTCTCCCCCAGCTCCTTGTACTTGGGCTCCAGGTTTTTGCAGTGGCCACACCAGGGTGCGTAGAACTCTATCAAGACGTCTTTGTCTTCTGCGTTGACGATTTCATCAAAGTTCTCCGCAACCACCACCTGGAAGAGGCCTGTGGGTCAGCATGCTCCTGCCGGTGCCAGCTGGAGGCAGCATGTGTTGGGGGCTACACGTCAGTGAGCCAGACCTTCCTAGCAGTGATCTGTGCATTGCACCTAGGAACAGGCTGCTCAACCCCCCAAGCCACGCTGACCTGCATGCTGGGAGTCACCCCCAGGCCCAGGGCTGTTGCACCTCCAAGAACCAGGCAAGGCCCACTGACATGCTGGAGTTAGGACAGGACCCAAAGCCTGGTGAAGAAGATGCCAGCACAGACCGGCCCCGGGCTGAACACAGGCCACGACCTGGTATCCTGCAGAGTGCGATCTCTCCTCGCACCCCAGCAGGGACAGGGAGCCACATCACGTGGTATCACATGCACCCCAAATAGGTGCAGTCAAGCGCAGCCTGTTCAGTTCCCCCCTCCAGTTGCATACGCCCCCCAAAGGATTCTCTTTCACTGTGCTTGCTTCTTCGGGGGCCGGGCAGGAGGTGGACTCCATGGCCCTCAGCTACAAACCCTGGAGATACCCTTAACTCCTTGGTCCTGCTGGGGCAGTGCCAGCCACACCACAGCGCACACACCTTCACTGGCCCATCGTTGCTCTCGGGGATTGGCTCCGATTTCAGGTATTTCTTTAGGTTCCCATCAAAGTAGTCCTGAAGGAACCTCTCCAGAGCTTTCCCGTCACGCCTGCAGGTCAAATGGGTGACATTTCAGTGCTGTCACAGCACATGGGCTTGGACAGGACGAGCTGCCAGGAATAAGGGGGTGTGTTGTACCCACCCAGAATTACAGCAGCCTGAAGAGGGTCCCATGCACCTACAGCCCCAGAGCTGGCAGTGACTCCTGCTCCCTGATGACCCAGGCTGGAAGGGGAGGCTGAGCGTGCAGCTTCCTGTAACTAATTCCCTGCTCTCCCCGCAGGGGATGTGCTGCCCCTGGTTCCACACAGACCACTTCAGTTATTCTGGCCTCCAGCTTACTTCCTACCCAGGTCTCTACTGCTTTCCAGGCACCTCTAACCAAGTCCTCAGCCCTTGGCTCAAAAGGATTCACTTGGGAACCCTGCAGCAGGGCGAACATTCCCATGTGACAGACTAGTCAAAGCCTTGGCCCACAGCCAGCCACATGGGAGAATCCTGGCCAGTTCCCTCCCAGCTGTGCCTGGGCTAACCTGAGAAATCAACTACAGGGCTGAAGAGGGATGCAGTACAGAGGATCTGCCCTTGACTGGGCTGCAGGGGACACAGCCACTCCTAGTCCAAGAACTTACGAGAATTCCTCCTGCATAACGTATTTCTCTCCCTTGGCCATTTTTATGGCAACGACTGGAACCTCGCCCGTGCTACTATCCAGGCCAAACTCCGAGAGCTCGTGGCCAAAGGTCTTCCGACTTGCAACAGCGAAAGACAGCTTGTGGCCAGCGTCCAGGAACTTCTTTGCCACCATCATCACTCTGAAAGAAGCAGACAGAAGTCCTGTTTCCCCATGACCTCAAAACAAGAGGTCAAGGAACTACAGATATTGGAGCAAGAAGGGGCACTTCCTTTTCACTACTTGTGGGCCAGGGTGCTGGCTTCGGTCTAAGGGATCTGCTGGCAGCAGGGTGACAGAAGCTCCACAAAGGGGAGGAACCAGACAGTCAAGGAACCAATTGGCTGCAGCAGCCAGCTGTGCCAGTGCCACTGGCATGCTGCTCAGCAGGCCTCCTGCAACCGCAAGACGCCCAGCCAGCAACTGCCCAGGACAGCAAGGCCTGCCGGCCTCCTTCAGCAGAGCATAGGGGCCAACCTGAACCTCCCCTGCAAAGTCAGCTGCTCTGGGCCTTGTCAAGCAGCAAGCTGGAGTCATGCTCTGGTTAGCACAGCTCAGGGCAAGCAACTGACAACAGTGCTGTTTCACAGGTCAGCCATGTTGTACATGTCACGCCCAGCAAGTGCCCTGTGGATTTGTCAGGCCTCAAGCACTCCACACAGGACAGAAGGGAAGTCAAGCTGTCCAAGAGCCAAACCACCATTTTGCTAGAAGGCTGGTCCACACCCACCTCTGCTTCTGCCTGACCCACTGTGGACCGAGCCAACAAAAGCCCTCACAGGCACGCTGCAGAGGGCAGCCCACCCCAGGGCACAGCACCGTCAGCGAGGGGCACGGGTCCCCTCCTCACCCACCTGTTGCGCCAGTAGTTGGAGCCCTTGGCATTCTTCTCATAATCCACATCATAATATGCCACCAGCAGGTCCTTCCCCTGGATCAAGTCTTTGTTATCTTCCGTCATGTGCGGGCAGATGCCGAAACTATTGACAAGATGGTTGTTAACAGCCAGGCTCTTGCTGTCCAAGACCCACAAACACCCAAAGCAGGCCAGACAGCAGTCTTGTTCACACCCAAGATGACTGAATCTCAGAGAGGTTATTCATTATTCAGGGAATGAATCTGCATGTACCGGCACAGGCTATTTTGTGCATCTGGCCACAGCAGCTTTAATCAACCTAGACCTTTCCTCTTTCTGGAGGATAGCTTGCTTACGTAAGTGCCCAGAAGCTCACCTAAGAGGCCTCTCACTGCAAGCCAGCTCCTCCAGACAAGACCATTACTAAAGCCAGGCCCTCGTGAGAGGGCAGAACCCAGACTGCTCAAGGGCTGGGGAATGCAGGGGCACCCCTGCCTGCCCAGGGGTTTCAACACAGCACCGCTCACATGTTCTCCTGTAGGAACTTCTTGATCTTGCTGCTAGTGATCTTGTCCTCTGGATACTTCACAGTCGCTTCCTCAAACTTGTTTGCCAGGTGCGGGGGCCGGAACAGGAGGAGTCCCCTAAGAAGGCAGACAGCACTGCATTAGCCAGGATGAGCAGCATTAGGAAGCCTGACTGTACGGCTGCCCGACTCAGTGGGAACGGGCAGCTCCCACCCCAGGTTCCCCAAGCTGTGCTCAGCTGGCAAATCCCACACTGCAGCAAGCCAGGCCACCCCAGCGAGGGATGCTGGCTGCCAGGGAGCACCACCTCGGGGCATGGAAGCGCCTACTTTTGTCTCCCAGTACAGTACTTGTGAGATGCTGCTCGCATCATTCTCTCTCGCACAAGGACACGGTGCAGCTTAGTGCCTGGCCTGCACAGCATTACCCCCAAGCACTCTCCCTGCAGGCAGGGACCTGCAGGGAAAGGGTCGGGGGCCCAAAGGGAACAGGATTCACAGAACACACAGGGCCTAGAGCTCCACAGCCTCTTCTGGCCTGCCGTGCACCGGACAAAACGGCCCACTGCCAGCTAGGAAAGGCTCTTGAAATGAGACTATGTCCCCTTAGGGGGTGAGAATCACTGCACTGAGCCACTTACTCTCCATCATCCTCATACTTCTGCACCAGGTCCTCTTCGCTGGTGTGCGCAAAGCGGTAGTTGTCTCTGAGGTTGCTGGCTGCTTTCATGAACTCTGAGTAAGCATCACTGGATGCATCTCTGAAGAAGCCTGCAGCAAAGAGAGGTGGTGACCCAGCTCCACCTCATTCCTGAGCACAGCTCAGTCCTCTCCCACCTGCTCAGCCCCTTCCCTGCAGCAAGGGCTTCCTCCCCACACCTTTTTTTGGTTCATTCAGTGTGTGTCCATAGTCTCCCTGCCAAGTACCAGGAGACGTGGGGGCCCATGGCTGCTTCACCCTGCTAGTTCTGGGGTCTGCCAAACACCCAGGTCTGTTCCCTCCTGGACTGGCAGAGGGACCATGGGGATGCAGCTGCACCACCCCGCAGGCATCAGACCCGCATCCCATAGGGGTGAAGCCAGAACAGAGGCCTTAGACTCCAGGTTAGCTAGTTAACGTGATCAGGTGCCTACCCTGTGCCCCAGCCCCAAGCTGGCACGCCAAGAAAGCTGCATCCTAGGACATTACCCACAGCAGCCCACGAGGCACCACCCCAATCTCCAATCCACCCCCTGGCTGCTTACGGCCTTCTGCGTATTATCTCTGCCTGAAGAGAGATAATCTCAGGCACTAGTGCCCACCTTCACCCAACTGGAGGGTCGTACGTCTGGCCATCAGGCAGTCTGCACGAAGGGTGGGAATTCTGTTCTCCTATCACCAGTTCACCACGGTCAGGTGACAGTTGGCAGTGACACCGGGGGCATCTCTGATGCAATCCCCACGCGCACTTGGCTCCAGGCCCGACTTCTCTCCAAGAACAGTTAGTGCTTCCCACTCGAGAGCCACAACAGTGTCCTCTGTAGGTGCCAGGCAGGTCTGACAGGCGGGTTACTACAGGACACAGCACCCACTGGCACCAAGTGCCACGTGGCCCATTCTACTTACCCACCACAGAGGCATCTTTGTCACCGGTGAATTTCTCAAAGTCTGCCACAGAGCTGAGCACCACGGAAGCGGGGCCCGCCTGTTTCTTGAGGTGACTGACAATCCCATCTTAAAAAAGACAGATTACAGCATTGTTAGAGGAATGGGTGTGAATTTCTTATCCCAGATATCGTGTCATTGCCTTCCTAAAACAGATCGACACTACATAACACACCGCGTTCTTAAACACAGCTGAAACAGGTACGCGTTTCCACCCGGAGAGGTGAACTGTCAGGCAAGCACAGCAAGCCATGGTTCCAGAGGGAAACAGCCGGACCTGCTCATCACCGCTGAGTGCTGGGGGCCTGCCAGGCATGCGTGAGCCTCCTCCCTGCCGCTACCAGGGCATTAGGACAGGGCAAGGTCTGCCTTCCAGCCAGCCCCTGCAAGATGCCATCATATGGTACCACACACACGCATGGCAACCCTCTGCTTATTTGGACCCTGCCCGTGGAGGGCTTGGCCGTGGGGCCCACTACAGCAGATGCACTGCAGCAGGCAACTGCCCACTTTATACAGGCGCTTGCGCAGGACCTCTGGGCTGCTGATGGCTTCCTCCGTTTGTCAGAGATGCTATGGCTCAGACGCTGGCAGTCCCTCATTTGACAGAGGCCAGTTATGTTCAGGTATGCGGCGGTTCTCCCTCCCCACACGCTCCAAGAATAAGTCACCTCGCGTGCACCTTCAGTACTAGAGACAGACGGCAAGCCTGCCGGGAAGCTCCCGCCACCATGGTAACTATCCAGCCTTGCTCAGTCAAGGGAAGAGTGGCCCAACAGGTAAAGCTCTTACCAGCTGTCCTGGGCCCATCGTAGGCGCCCACCTCCTCACCATCCCTGAAGATCTTGAGGGTGGGATAGCCACTGACCCCATATTTGTTACAGGTGTTTGAGTTTGCTGTGCAGTCAACCTGAGGAAGAGGAACACCGCCCGTGAACACCCCGCCACAGCTTCCGCACCCAGTGCCGGCTGGCAGCACAAGCTGGCACCAGGCAGCTCCGCCGCACAGTGACCAGGCTCCCACATGCCAAGGAGCTGCCAGGCGCAAAGCACCAAGAGGAGGATGCAGGAGCCAGAGCAATACCCGGGGGGCGGGGGGCCAGCCTGTGCGCAGCTGGATGCGGCGCACACGATTACTCGTGCCCCACAGGAAGGGCCGGCAGCTTAGCGCACGTGTCGGCGCTGCTCCCGGGGGCGGAGCCGAGCCGAGCCGAGCCAGGCTGCCCTGAAAAGTGCCCAAGCGGACGCCCGGCTGCGTGGGCTCGGGAAGCCCGCACTGGGACTGTGCGGACGGGAGACGAGGCAGGATCCAACCAACGCACAATGCCAGAGGCCC